GCTTTGACAACCAGAAAGAAAACGTTTTCGCTCCTAAAAGTGGAAAAAATGACCCATCACATATGTATCGATGTCAACGGCGGTGGTGCTTCATACTATTATCAAAAATTTTCGTTCGTGGTGGTGGCGCACTGGCTGAACTAACTTTTTCATAGCGGCGGCGGCTAAAAAATTCTTAAAATTATCTACGATTCCATGACGGTGTCGGTTCAGCTCGGCGGCTTACACCTCTACATCGGCTGTTTTAAAAATGTTCTGGAAATTGTATGCATGCTCGATGAAGCTTTGTGCTAAGTCTTCATCAAGGGCAGCAATAAAATCGAGCGCACTATCTTCAACCTTGGAAAGATGAAAATTAACATACCTGTTGCGCACGTGTGACTTGAGTTGGGCCCATGTATAAGCTCTGTGGGATTGAGTATACAATGCTTTACTGGAAGTCGCAAGATTTCGACATCGGGATGTGGGTGTGAGTATGAGTGAGGAAGAGACCAATACCTACACCAATTCCCACACCCAAAAATGGTCATTTCTGCCAAAAAAATAATCATCTGTACCATGGAAATGACCATTTGTGCCAAGCCCTTGTCACAGACAGACACAGGTGAATTACGCTTTTTAGACCCTAGCATTTCACTCTAGGATATACACCCTTTCTATGGAAAGGTAGAACAATAAACCCTTGGCCGTAGAATAATGAACCCTTTTCCTGAAAGAGTAGAACAATAAATCCTTTTCCTGAAAGAGTAGAACAATAAACCCTTAGCCGTAGAATAATAAACCCTTTTTATAAAAAGTAGAACAATAAACTCTTGGCCGTAGAATAATGAACCCTTTTCATGAAAGGGCAGAACAATAAACCCTTTTTCACTAGTCACAAACCCTTTTTATTTGTAAATACCCTTTTTCTCGGAAACCCTTTCGCACAAAAACCCTTTAAGGGTTTAACACATCAGCATAAACCATTTAAGGGTTTAGAAAGATTTTCCTAAAGTGCTAGGGTTTATTATTCTACGAATTTTTTTTACAGTGTATACATCACGATCATTGAATGTTTTTCGTTCTTCGTATAGTATACATATAGGCTGGGCTATTCTTTCGAGAGGGTGTGGGTGTGGGTGGGTACGGGTGGGTGGGTGTGCGTGTGGTGGGTGTGGGTGGGTATGGGTGGGCGGGTGTGGGTGTGGGGTAGACCCCGTCGGGTCCAAGATTTTTGGACCCGAACCCGGACCCGTTTACAATTTGCTATATTCGTACCCGGAACCGGACCCGTTTGTTTAAAAAAAGGTTGGACTCGGACACGACCCGGACCCGCTTGTTTAAAAAATGTTGAACCCGGATCCGACCCGGACCCGGTCGCTTAAATTTTTTGGAATTAAGCACGATGATAAATCAGTTTCGATAATATATTCAAAAAGTCTTTGGTTGCTTTTTTGTATATTTTCTAAATACACTTAATTTCTTTTCTTCGTGAAACGAACAAAATTTTGAAAACATTCACAATACATTGTATGCATCAAAGTTTTCTTCAGATCTGGACCCGACCCGAACCCAGTCACAAAAAAGTTTCAGACCCGGAACCCGACCCGGACCCGGCCAAAACGAAACTTTTAGACCCGAACCCGGACCCGTACCCGAGCGGGTCCGGGTCGGGTACGGGTCCGGGTCCTACCCGACGGGCTCTAGTGTGGGATGGGTGGTTGGGTTGGTGTGGGGTGGGTATGCGTGTAGTGGGTGTGGGTGTGGCGTGGGTGTGCGTGTGGTGGGTGTGGGTGTGGGTGTGGGTGGGTATGGGTGGGTGGGTGTGGGTGAAGAGAATATTAATACCTACACCCGCACATCCACACCCGCACCCACACTCCACACTCACAGCCACACCCCACCT